TTGGGGTCACGTCTTCTGGAAACAAGCGAAAGCAGAACCTATCTGCATACAACTGCCTCACCTTCGCTTCCACCAAGCTGGGACCCGGGATTCCACATATCGGAGAGGCTGGCAGGACGGTTTGGCCATTCCTGTGGATAAAACCTAGGATAAAGGCTTTTGGCCCCAACATTGTACATACCAATGGGAGGACAAACTTCTCTTCGTGTTCTTGGTCCTTCGCCTTACTCGTTTCCACTCCGCCTACAATAACATATGTTCCTTCTCCCTCACCTCCCTAATTCTGCCTTGAATATGTGCTTGATAGTTGGGACGAATTGGCTTGTCCCTGTCTCCGCTCTTGGACTCCCTGATAGTCTACCGCCACTTCCTTCACCCCACTTTCCTCCACAAACCTCGATTGCGCCGTCCACGTACCTTGGGGTTGTCTTGCAATCCCCTCCCCTGGTATCTGGCTTGAGTACCCTAGGTATAGACTTGACAAGTGCATCCTGGAGTACCCCGACCCCGACCAGTATCCATGCGGCGTTCCACCCATCAAAGATTGTTGCCACATAGGGTATTGTTGAACATGCTTCAGATACGGGTCACCTTGGCCCTGGTACTAGCCCCACATTATTCATGACCCCATGACCTCAGCTCCCTCCCTGCCAACAAGCGTCCCTACTCCCCTTCCCCTACTCCTCCCATCCCTGACAACCTGTTTGCTGGTGGAGTGTCTCCCTGGGCTACCTCTTGCGCTTCGTTTCCTTGATTCTGACTTGCCTCTTGAGACCCCGATCTTGCTGCTCGAGAGTGAACCTCTCTCGCTCTTCCTCCTGCCATGCTTGTTCCCCTTATACCTTCTTGAATAACTGCGATGTCTCTGGCTACTTCTCTTAGCCCCCTCTGGAAGATTACTTCCCCCTGATTCCATCCTCGGTTGCGGTTTCGCTCTCCTCCCGTTCCCCCAATCCCAGTCTCTTCTTCTCCTTCTCCCGCTATGGGCCACCCATCTATCTCCGTATGATACCACCACCGACATCGATTACACCACGGGGTGTTTTTACACACAAACTCGACGTTGTAAAGTTCCCCATCCTCCAACTTCATTGCGAGGGTAGATTTGAGTCTTTCCTCCGCATCTCTTGGTAGTTCAAACTTGAGGTTCATTAGCTTGGGGCGAGAGGCATCCGGTTCCAGCGGGTGTTGCAAGACAATTATTCCCATTGATTGATGTATCAGATCTAGAACATGGAACATTGCCCGCAGCGGCACTTTGATTGCTGTAACCCAGAATTTCGTCTCCTCCTCCTGTCTTCGCCGTTCTTTGAGGTCCGCCCTAGTCATCTAGGATTTGAAGAGAATCTTATATTCTACTCCTCTGATGACCACCACGTCTTCCCCCTTAGCTACCAACCACTAAGCTACCTCCCTCGACTTCGCTACATAGGACATTATGTTGGCCCCCTCTCCGTGTACCCTCCCTCTTTTGAAGCCCCTCGAGAACGTCCTACGGCGAAACCATCAGTTCTCATACGCACGTATGAGGTCTTCCCGCGTCTTCACTGATAAATCCCTCGCGGCTCCTTGAAAAATAACAGTGACCGTGCGCTCTTTGAGCCACGCAGTCGTTAAACGATCTATTTGCGGGTTTACCTTGAAGACCCGAATACCGTTTTCCACGACAAATTCCCCGTGTCTCATCCTCTCCGGGAAGACGCCATCCTCATAGCATTTAGCTATGAGGATTCTGATTCGGTCTTCTTCAGCCAACTGGACTTCTGCTCTTGGTGGACTATGTTCCTCCCACTGTCCTTGCATTTGTTGCGGTCCTGATCCCTCATCCCGATTAGCCATCTCTCTGACCTTCCCCGACTACTTAACCAACCAGATTCACACTTCAGCGGTGGGCGCCTATTCGGCGCGCGCCCTGCTATCTACACGCGTTAACACTTTTCCCACTTCTTTCACGATTTGCAATTCTTCACTTGAGCATAGCATAACGTTTGACTCATTCGTCAGGCCGGACCACGTGTCGTAATGTTTCCCTTCCCACTGGGTTAGTTGCTCGGAAAATACCGAGCAACACGGCTTCGCAATCGCGATGAACATCGCGAAGGCCTGGACCAGCTTAACGCCGGTAGCGCTAACTTGTAGCGCTCCAACGCCGTCCGCCGCGCCCCGCAGTTCCTACCACTGTTTTTGGAATATAAAGAGACAACTTCTCCAAAAAAAA